CTGTCTTTCCCAGGCTTGGATAAGCGCTAGGCAGTCCACGTGAGCGTCCACCCCGACAATTTGAAAGAACCGACTTTCCAGCTTTTAAAGTTTTGACGAGTGCGAGGGCTTCCTATACTTTACTGCAATAGGTTTGTCTCTGACTTCTTCTCTCCAAATATCTCGAGTCTCCAAACGTGGTCCGGAGGGATTGTGAACTATGCCACCCCACACGTACTGGGATGCGTCGCTGGTTACATTCACTACTAAATGACGCTCATCCATCCAGAGAAGATGCTCGGACCAAGAATCTAAAAACCGCCAATGAGCTACCTCAGAACGAAGGTCACCAACAACTTTGATGGGCCGAGAGGAACGATTTGCCAGAGAAATAGCGCGGTAAACTTCTCTTGCGTATAACTGAGCAGCCGGGACAGCTAAAGAGAAAGAGGTAACCTTGCCTGCGAATCGCTGAAGCGTCTTGATAGACACTGTTCGGCACTGGAGAATGGAGTCACGAAGGGTGGCAAACTTGATTCTCTTATCTTGTGGAATAAGGAAAGCTTGAAGGATGGAATCTGACAGAAAACCCAAAAACCTGATTCTAGTCTGGGGAACAGGAACGGATTTGGAGAGGCCAATGAAGTATCCAAGGCGAACCAAAACTGAACACACAATAAAAGCAGCAGCCTCGGCAAGCTGGAAATTGGACCACCTGACAGAATCTTGAAGATCTCGGCGTAAAGCGAGTTGGCCGACATGGCGGTCGTCAATATATTGACTGCAGGGGACACCAAGAGAGCGGATATGACATGTTGCCGCCAAACCGACCGTATGATAGACGTAGGCGCTGGCCTTCCAACCAAAGGGTAAGGTCTTATAACAAAAATACTAGCCTTTCCACTCTAAACACACAAAGGTGAAACTGTCAGGGGACAACTTGACGTGGTCATAGCCACTTTTATCGTCAAAAGCAGTTTGGAAATGAGACTTAAACACATAGCGAGGTAAACCAGAAATGTAATCCAACGAAAGCGGAAGATCTTTAATCCATAAGTTCAAAAAAACGCTCATCGTGGCACATTCTAGGCTTAGTGGGCTCCACAGTAATGGGCAAAAACAAATGGGTTGGCTGAACAGAGCCAACTTTTTCTCCAAACCAGGAGTGAGCCGTTTTTAACTCGGTCAAGGATAGAGGAACTAATAAACTCCTCGAAATCAAGACAAGATTTGCTATTAGGAAAACAAGCCGCTGGGAGAGTAGCAGAATTATGAAATTTCCCCTGGAAGTCGCCTTTGAAGGGGACGAAAAAATTGGAAATGTTGACCCCGCGGACGATGTAGGATAAAATCTCATATTTCTTTGGGTTTTGAGACAGAATGAACTTCCAGTAAGACTGGTGCCGACTCAGTTCCCCTGCCACAAAACTACTGGGATCTCGGAAAATAACATCTTGAGGAGTGGCATGAGCAATTCCGTTGGAAACCATGTAGGGCGAGGGGTTCGGGCCTTCAACGCGAGGCTTTTCCCCTTTCCAATTGCACCACTGAACAAAATTTGAGGAGACTTCGTCCGGGCGAAAATCATAACGAGGTTTCTTGCACGGGGGCGCCTAAAACAAAAAGGACAACGAAAAAAGCGCCAATGAAATATGATATGGAAAAGGGGAAAAGCCAACCGCGAAGCAGCCCCGAAATACCCCGTCCAGGGACAGAGCAATTAAGGGTATAAGAAGACCCCTTCGAAGGCATACCAGCGGTTAGCTTAGAAAGAAAAAGCCAAGCGAAACAAACACAAAGTAATTGACAAAGCAAACTTTATTGTGGCGTGGACTTCATTACAGAAGAACACTAACATGGATAACTAACAAGGCAAACGATCAAAGGCACCGAAACTCCAATATATAGCCATAGGCGTACGGGCAATTTTTTGCCAGGGGGGGCGGTAATCCATTCGCCCAAAAAATTCTTCCAAGTTGCCCAAATTTTTACAAAACAGTCGAAAGGAAACTAGGGCCATGCAACAAAATAGGCCGTACTGGCATATGAAAATGGCTCGATACAGTTTTTCAGAGTCAATACCTGCCAAGTTTGAGCATAAACTACGTCGCCACAAACAAGCATTTGGAAAAAATTGCCACCACAGTTGTATTAGATAAAGAGGGAAATTTGTCATGATCAGGATTGCAATGACATCGGAGCTGTCATAGCAACGAAATGACGCCATTACCTTATTCTACTTGGAGCAATATTTCTCACTGGGAACTGTTCTTACAAAATCGTTCAGCGGAGCTCTTTCCTCCAATAGTCGCCTCGATGTTCGTGAAGTTAAAACGGAACTGTAAGAGCGTTATCGAGATATTTTGGGACGAAGTTTTTATTGTTAGAAATAAGGTAAAAAAGGAAAATCTTGATGTTTAGTCGCAATCTGAAGAAAACGAAACCCTTTTAACATGCAATTTCACCTCATAGTAGTTTCAATCTTTTTAAAAACGTGTGTGGAAGATCATGGAGATAGCTC